AACTGACGTTTATGACGTCCAAAGCATGCTGCTCTGCTCGTAGGGCAGAAATAAAAACACTTTCTCTAAGTTTTCTCTGCATCTGGGTAAGCAGAACCCCCCTGATATACGATATGAACAAAAGTATTTGTCAGTGTACTCTTACACATGAACTTTAACATCCAACCAATTTAATCTATAGAGTCAATTTTTTTTATGGACCTCCTACTTTCCCACAACAAAACTTTAACTATTCTGTATACACATTAAGGCTAAAACAATCGTATAAGTCGCAAGTATTCAATTATTTAAATAATCTTCAACTAATTTAGTAATCGATTAATCGTTAAATGCAGAATAAAGACTCTAAAACATGTCTTTAGGTGACAAAGCAACCTACTTAGAGCAGTTATGTCAAAATGTAAAAAATGAGTAAACATTTTCCATTTAATATAAAAATATATATATATATATATTTGTCTATAAATATATCAATAATCTGTCTGTCAATCATACATTCCTCCAGGTTAAATGTTCCTAGTTGGAGGAGAGTCAAAATTGCAGCATCTGCTCTTATATTCCCAAAGGTGTTTGGTCAGAACGACCAGTTTATCCAAACCAAACAATTCAAATGATCAATAAGTCATATCAAAACAGACGTTAAATTAAGCTAGCGTTAAAAGAACCTTAATCTGATGTGTCTGAAAATATTGCTAGCATGAGGAAGACAATGGTTTAATAGAGACTGATGGAATCTAAAAAAGCTTAAGGCTTTATCTACCACAACAAACTAAAACACCATCTGAACTGTCAATAACAAATGTGTTAAGTGGGACACAATTACAATAATAAACTAGATTGCTTTAGCCAAATGAAGGCTAGTATTTGATATACTATAGTTTCAGGTTAATTAATTTTTAGGCTTAAAAAATAAAATAAAAAATCGGCATCAGTTAAAGCATTTAGCTGAATCTGATCAGTACTGAGTACTGAATATATACTGATTTTTGGGTCTATGGCCTCCACAGTTAAAACCAGTGTTAAAATTTCAAAATAGACCAAACTGGTCTTTAAGGATAGGGAAAGCAGCAAAAATAATTAGGCACAAGTGGTTCCCTAAAGGCAAATTCTTTGGAGGATCAAAGATGTGATCTGCTGGTCAAAGGGCCTGTCCCCTACTTTAACCAATCCCCCTCCTCAGTTACAAAGACAGAAAGAGAGGCAGGGCTACAAACAGAGGAGCAAACAAACTAGTCGAGTTCATGCTTTGTTTCCTGCTCAAACATTCCTATCGGAGCCTCACTTTTTTTCGCATAGTGGTAGAACCAAATATAGGCATCCATGGCTTACCAAACGGTCTGGTGCTTACAGCACATCCTTTAATCCAGCAGTTTAAGGTTGGGGCTCCGATATGCGGCAAACCCTTGTTATTAATGCGAGCATGCCCTGCGTAATGTCATTATCATCCATGCAACACAAAAGGACTCCCAAATTGAATATTTGATATAAGCAATGAATTCCCCTCTTGTTTTGTAAAGCTTTATCATTATTATTTGGATTCCAGGAATGACTTTTAACTCGCTAATCATTAATCAGTTTGTCACAAGTTTGGCAGGGGCATTAGATCTCTGATGCAGTCCTTCTGAGGGTATTCAGTATGACTTATCAGCCTCAAGTTGGACAAAGATATGGAAGTAAGAAACAAACAAGGATTAAAAAAATAAATGAATTGAACTTTAATTATCTCAATTTTGAGAAATGTACCTCTGCATTTAACCCATCCAGCAGTTGGCTGCCATCATGGGGCAGCCAGGGAGCAATCGGGGGTTAAAGGCCAATTTATGCCTCTGATGCATAGCCTCTGCTTTGTCAAATCTGTCTCTGTGCACCAAAAAAAAAAATCCTGACTATGCGTCGGATGGTCACAAACCCACGCAGACCTCAAGAAGAAGTGCGCGGACAAAAAGCAGCTGTGATTGGTCCTTGGTGTACCTTTCTGGCTGTTGGTGTGGTCGTTGTCACAACCCGATCTGTCCCAGATCCATTCTGCGCATGAGCTGTCAGCTCATTTGTGTATGCATATCAAGATATACATCCGGATCATCCTCGGTTTTATTTTGTTAAAAATACTTAAATTATGTTTTCCCTAACCAAAAATAGTAAACATACTAAAATATAATGTGTTAAAGGTTAACAATGTATTTCCTGAGAAAATAAATGCCTTAAAATCCTTTCTGCTTTATCACTCGTCTCTGCCCAATCTGCACCGGAAATGGGATCCCTCGCAACCTCCAGTGGCTAACTTTGAGTTAAATGTTTTCGTTTAGTTTTAACCTTATGTTATATAGCGCGTAATCTAAAGAAAGAAACAACTAAAAGGCAGATAAACATGGTTTAATCATACTTTGCCGGACAGCTCTGAGCGTGTCTGATAATGACACCAGAGAAGCAGTTAAACGAAAAAAATGTAACAAGCATAAAAATTGTCTCACACAATTTATAAAGCATTTTCTAAAGATAAATATTAGCATTCTTTAGTGAGTTAAGGATAGAAATAAGTAGTTTTAGTACCATAATTACAGTATTTATGGACACTCAGATGTACATCTGTTTGCACATGCGCAGGACGGATTGTGCCTCTGGGACGGATTGGGTAGTGACAGTCGTCCTTCTCGATTCCGTGCCGGGATGCACCATTTTTAAAGAACGAGGAACAACGGACAACTACGATGAAAGGTTAATCGGCCTTTTTGCCAACTCCATGAACAGAACCTGTTCCCTTTTCGATGTCTAGCAAGTTTAGAACCATCTCTGTGAAACACTCAGACCCGCCATTTTTGTTTTGGAAGATAAACACTCCCGCCGCCACCGCCGAAGTTCTCGAATAGGCTCCCCCTTGCACTTTGGCGGAAACTGCTGTGCGTCCCTAGAAATTCCAGACCGACAGTGCAGAAGCATACTAGCAAAACTGGTTCAAAACCAGACCCAAGCGACATTTCATGTGAGCGGTTGCAGAAGTCTAATCTACCCTTAAGGGTCTTGCTCAGAGACCCGGAGTGGCTGTACGTGGGAGTGAGGCTCGAACTCAGAACCTTAGGATTCCAAGCTCTATGCCCCTAACCATTAGGCCAACACTCCCATCTTCATTAGTTTAAGCACAAAAGTTTACAATATGCAAAAAGATAAGGAAAAAAAAAACTTCAGGGAACGAAACACTGATCCTTCGGTGGAGCTTTAAAACAGACGTGTGGGGGACTGAACTACAAATGTTCACCTCCTATAGAACAGTAAGTCAACAACATCAGAGTCGGGTGCAAAAGCCACTAACTGATTTCATCACAAAATGTACCGATTACCTAGCCTAGTAAACTAGCCCCAGCAGCCAAAATAATTTTTGCCTACGAGTTGTTCTAGCCTCGATAAATGCCCCAGGCCCTAGAACTGGCAGGCCAATCACAATGCAGAGATGTTTTTTGAACTTTTGGATGCGTAGCAGGCGGGGTTTTGAGGGCGTGACGACAAAGCTGCGTGACTCTGGAGAAAGCACAACAAGGAAGATGTCAACAACTATTGAACAGTCCTCGTTGACTCAGCTTTGGAATCAGCTTTGAAATGATTAGACTTGGGTTTTTCATTGAAACATGAGCAGGAAGAGGCTCTACGCTCTTTCATTTTTAAGGAGGACCTATTCGCCGTTTTACCAACAGGCTGTTTGTTTACACTCCACCACCAGCAGTCAGTTGGGCTCATTGGTCAGAGCATTGGCCAATAGGCACAGACATGGTTTGAAAAACAACGGGTTGTTCTTATCAACAATCTTCCAATGTCTCATTCATCGGGGCCAGACTAAATTACACATTTATTCTCACATTTAGTCTGGTTTATCAGGATATATTAAAAAATAAAAAAAATAGCATCAATATATCATGCTAATTAGTTTTAATATTTCAAGTAATTAGTGACATGCATTGTTTCATTTGCCAGTTGTAACATAGTTAGATTTAAAAACGTTTTAGTTTAGTTATAATTAACTTATAGGGGGGGGGGGGCTGATTTTGTGCCTCTGAGCTGCCAATTCTAAATTAGAGAGAAATAACTGTCCTATCACAAAGTTTGGTGTGTAGATTAGGAAATCTTTAATAAATAAAAAGTGAAATATTTTTTCACTTTTTTTTTTTTTTAAGATAATATATTATATATTATTTTTCCAACTTTATTGTGCCTGATTGTATTTATTTTAAATTAATTTGATTCTGATTCAACTTTGAATCACAGATTGCTTCCAAAGAGGGGCCTGGAAAGATCAAGACCCAAACTAATCCCACCCAAAGTCCATTAAAACATTTAATTAAACTTAATTTGTGATCATAGTTAGCAAATATCTATAGGTTAAAATCAGCGTTAACGTAGAAGTCAAACAGAACAAATTTCGGTCCAGAAGCCGATAACATTTTAGCTATTTCGAGTCTTAAATCGATTTCCTGTGCTCGGAAATATATAAAGAATAAAAATCATAAGTTATAAAGAATAGGGTTTCCAAAAAAACACCCTAGCTACTCGCTAGCTTCAGTGTGCTATCAGGGTCTGCGCCTGTAGTCGGACAGCTAGCTTAAAATGTCCCATCAACAAGTAAACAACCATCCTCACAGCTAGCTTGAGGGATTTGCTTTTTTTTTCGGAGTCCTTGGATGTTTGACCCCAGAAAGAAAAATATATAGCCTTAACCTTTAAGACTAATACTATTAGAAATAGCGGCTTTAAGCTGGAAGAAGCTGAACAGACATCGACAACCCGTAATCTTATGTCCGACAATGGAATTAGAACATGAATAGGTGAAATAAAACACGACACACATAGTATAATAAACGACAGGCCTTTGATGTTTTTGTAACAAACAAAAAAACTCGTACAAATATCTGCAACGGGCAGAAGAAAGCATGTACATAACGTTTGAAGAGCCTGTCCGATAAAGGAACTCGGTGCAAGCCTCCCTCCCTGCTATTTTTATTTTTTTTTTTTACCTTGTATACATCTCCGTATGTGCCACTTCCTATCCTCTGGATCAGCTCAAAATCCTCCTGTGGATTCCGCCGGGACAGGTCGACACTGGAGTTCATCGTTTACGATCGAGTTCGGCTGACGAACCCCGACAAAAACACGAAAATTTGATTTCTTTAAAGAAAAACATACGGCGTTAGAAAATCCCAACCAGGATCCAGTGTAGATCCAACATGGCTTCCACTGCGCTTGGCGCATGCGCAGTGGAGACCCTGGCCTTCCCTTCCCTTCCTAGGTTGTTTGTCAAAGGAAATGATGGAAATGCTCAATACTTAGTTCGACAGAATTAAACTTTTAAATCAATGATAGGTAAATAATAGGGGGTCATGTTTGGCTTTAGACATATTAATCTCATTACTTACTTTTAATTTATTAGTTATTCAATAATGGTTAAATTACAGTTTTGTAATCAGTGAACAACAATTGACAGTTTAGTGAAAGAGTGTGAAAGAAAATAAATCACCAAGATGTGTGTTGCCTTTGTGTCTAAGTGTAAAAAATGATGCTAAAATGAGTTTAATTTAACAATGGCAGAAAGTGCTTCAACATAATAAGTTACTACAGAAACCCAGTTGACATCTAGGATGACAATATACAGTATATATATATATATATATATATATATATATATATATATATATATATATAAACAAATTTTTTATTCATCAGAGCCTAGCTTGAAACTGAACATTTACAAACATATATTAATCAGTAGATACATTTAATTATATATTTTTTTCATAAAAGACAAGAACTCAGTCTTTTTGAAATTGATAAACTGGCAAAAATGTATATACATAAAATAATTTTTTCTAGTACTTTGATAGAGAGATGAAGACCAAATCCAAAGTTTTGAAAAAATAGTCAATGACCACCAAAGGTTTGGTGTGGCTGGCAGCCTTAGGACAACCAAACCAAAGGAGGCACCAAAGAGAGCAACCCATCCAGTCTTTTCTAATATATATATACTACATACATATACCTACATATATACACACCTATATATTCCTATGTATATCTATAGATAGATAGATAGATAGATAGATAGATAGATAGATAGATAGATAGATAGATAGATAGATAGATAGATAGATAGATAGATAGATAGATAGATCTGCTGCCTGAATATTGACTTCAGAATGACCAGTTTGGCAGTGGGTCAGTAAAGGTGTGGGGCCGTTTTTCTTTGGAGGACAAGACAGCCCTCCATGTGCTCGCAAGAAGTAGCTTGACTGCCATTAGGTACCGACATGAGATCCTCAGGCCACTTTGTGAGTCCATATGCTGGTGTGGCTGGCCTCTGGTTCCTCCTAATACAGGGCAATGTTAGATCTCATGTGGCTGCAGTGTGTCAGCAGTTCCTGCAAGATAAAGGCATTGAAGCAAAGGACTGGCCCATCTGTTCGCACACCTGAATCCGATTGAGCACAACTGGGACATTATGTCTCGATCCATCCAATGACATCACGTTGCACCACAGACTGTCCAGGAGTTGGCAGATGCTTTAGTCCAGATCTGAGAGATCCCTCAGGAGACCATCTTTCTCATCAGCAGCATTCCCAGACATTGTAGGGAGAACACACACAATACTGAGCCTCATTTTTACCTGTTTGAAGGACATTAAATCAAAGTGTGTTTTTTCCACTTTATTTTTTGGTGCGACTCCTAATCAAGGCTTCTATTGGTTTGACTTCCATTGATCATTTTTTTTTTAGTTTGTTGTCAGCACTTTCAGATTTGTACAGAACAATGAGATTATTTCACTCATTCAGATCTGGGATGTGATATTTGAGTGTTCCCTTTATTTTTTGAGCAAAGTATAGTTTTTATACATACTTTTGTTTTTTTTAGCAATGGATCAGTCTAATTTAGTTTATTTATATAGTGCCAATTTAAAACATGTCATCTCAAGGCACTTTACAGAGAAAATTCAACCAGATCCTACAGTCAGATTGGTTCAAAGTTTTCTATCTATGGAAAACCAGTTGACTGCATCGACCCGTTGACTCGTGTAATCCCTCACAGCAAAACAGTTGAGAGGAAAGGTACCTTTTCCATCTGCTGGGGCCGACTGGCGTTCAAGGAGACAGAAGCAGAGATATAAAAAAGACTGTGGTAATGGTGATAAACTTTGCAATGTTTTATTTTACTAAATAGCCATTTCTAATTTTATCTTAATACAATGTACAATTATCTACACTGAAAATACAATTAATAAAATTATCCTTTTCCAGAGTTGATTTTTTCTTTTTTTGCTCTAGATCCACGTCAGCATATAAGGACCTAGAGCTTTAGGTCCTCATAAAAAGTATTGATATTTTAATGAACAATTCTAAACATCTTTTAACAATATAAAACTTGATCACTAAAATTGATGAAACATACAAAATCTACAAATAGATAGGAAATTTAAGTCTGCATATGTACAGAAATCACCTGTCAGTTGTAATTTATTATGATATTTCATAAATATACTGAATAAATATTAGAAAATGATCAAAGAAAAGTAATTATTAATTCAGGTGATTGCAACTGTGCAACGATCCTATAAACCTTTGGATTAACTCTGCTCTAATGTAATAAAGGAAATTTGATTCCATTGTTAGATCAAAAGGAATGTATGAACATGACTTGATTCTAGTCTTGTTGATGAAAGTGTCGAAAAACAAAACAGGGAAGCTTTTTTTTTTTCACCAAGTGGAGAAATGATAAGTTTTCTTGTAAAAAGACACAATTCAAAAGATTTAACATGTTTTAGGTTGTTATTGGGCTCCTTTTAGACTTAGACTTAGACTTCTTTATTTGTCATTTTGTATGCACAGGGTGCATACAGAACGAAATTGCGTTACATACAGCTTATGAACGTTGCATTGATATTTCAAATGGCACGAGTTATAGAAAAATACAAAAAGTGCAGCAGTGGTCAAAGTGTGAACAGTGCAGAGGATAAGAGACAGTATGCAAGTTGCAGTGGTTCAGTGCAAAATGGCATTTGTGCAAAAAATGCGTTATTGAAAAATACAATGAGATGAACAATTTAAAACAAATTTTAATGTAGCTTAATCAAATAAGTTTAGCACGTTTATATATTTCACATATTGATTTATTTAGCATAACATTTTATTTTGAAAAGAGCATCTAATGATATAACATTTCTTAAAAAGAAGAGTAAAACAAAAAGGTTGAGGCCGAACTCTGTGAAAAATTTATAATATTCCATAACATTAAAAAAGTTCTGAAACGCTTCATGAAATATTTAAATTTTCATTCATAGTGTTTGATAAAAATGGGAAATCTTTGAAAGAGAGTTTAGAGTTTAATTCAAGTAGATTTTTTATTTATAGTTTAAACACAAACATACAGCATTTCAAATAAGAACTAATTTCTCAGATATGACAGAGCATTATATGATTAAAAAAGTAATTTTTAATCCTAATCAAGTGTTTTGATGTATTTATGGATCAGTCCATCTATTAACCCCAAGCTTACTCTCTGTGTGCTTTGGTGTCTAAGAGTTGAAAAATTCAAAGCTTCCTGTGAAGATGAGGATTGCTTCTCTGAGGAGGAAGGAAGGCAGTTATTTATGCCAGCGTGTGACTCTGCTTCCTCGTTTCCCTTTGGTCCGGTCCGTGTTTGTAAAAGTTTTTTCAGGAGACAAGACAACTGAGGACTCAGGAGCACCACCAGAGTTCCACCAACACAAAGGACTCTAGACAAACAAACATCTGGAATTAATTATAATTTAAACATTTTCTTTCCAAGTCTGTTTATAACATCCAAAATGTTTTAAAGAACTTAAAATGACTCATTGCTAAGGAATGCTATACAGTATACTAAAGAAAACAAACCTTTCCATCTCTCGGAGGATGAGTGGAAGCTTCTCAGCCATATTTTCTCTGGTGCTAAACTTCCTGCCGAATGGTAAATCACAGACAACAGCATCAACACTGGCACTGGGCAAAGGCAACACTGTTGAGACAAAGAGAAACAAAACGGGACAATAAAGTAATATTAGACACAACGCAAGTATTTTTTAACCAAACTAACTTGCCATTAGAGCTGCGCAGACACAAAATGAGAAGTTTTGAAAGGTAAGCCTTTAGATGCCTTAGCTTGCAATAAAGCTGTCTTTTTCTGAACATTTATCTGTACAATGGAGCCTAGGCGGAAGTTCAACTGAAGAAACCGATTGCTCTCCTTCATCCGATTGGATGAAGGAGAGCAATCAGCAAAAAGCCAATCGGCATCCAAAGTTCATCTTAAAAGACGTACGATCTGCAACTAGTCTTCTCCTGTGGGCAGGGGGTGGTTGCGCTATGTGACTTCATTCAGATGACCCCTTTTCAACAGGTAGTTTTTCCTCTCCACTGTAGTTTCATGCTTGCTCATCATGGACAGGTTCTCTCAACCTGTGTTATCCAAGCTGGACTTCCATCTTCCAGGTCCCTGAGTGAAGCTCTAGTATCAGCTTATGCAGTCCACTGGATCTCCCCATAAAGCTCAGCATACCGTCTCGCTAACCAGCAGTCTACAGACTGACCAACTTCATCTATCATCACTCTACCACCAGTTTCAGGCCTGGGGGAGAACAGCCCTATTCTTTGCTTCTGTTCATACGTATCTATCAAAATTGAGCGCTATGTTTCCTGGTGAGGTCTGAGCGCCAAAGACAAAGTCATATAAATACATTTCTTCTAATTGTCTTTTCTCTTCGTGTGAGTTTTTCAGATTAAATTGTAGTAACCCAGTGGTTAAGCCTTCCTTAAAAATATGGACCCAATTTTGCCATGCCTTTTCATCCCTCATGTCTAAAGATGCTCCTTTAGAAAATAATAAGTTTGGGGACCTGTAATAGGTGTGGGCCTCCTGTGGCATGTAAATGGTTTAAGATTTATTCTTGGACAGCATGTTTGTGACATTGACTATTTGGTAACACAGTTTAGTACTCCTCCAGCACACTTTATTTTAATATATTTTCAAAATGACAGCTTCCTCATCTAATTTGGAAAGCTTTCCATTACTTCCAGTAGAACCCCTTTTAGATAACATTTAGAAGACGATTCTTTGTTGTAGAGAATATTGACAAAATGTATTTGTTACTTAGTCTTGATAACTTAAAACCTTTAAAAGATATGAAGAAGAACTTGATATAATATTGATATTGGACTAGACTCACAACACTGAGGCTCTGTATCAGAAAGGTCAGATCA